CCCAGCCCCTGTTGCTGGGCCCTGGGACTTTGCAGTCCCCAGAGCAGACACCACACTGGGGCTTCGTTCCCAGAAGGCCCCAGACTGCTAGGACTCTTAGTCTGTAAATCGTAAATCAGCAGATTTCCCTGAAGACTGAGGAAAGAGCTGGAGAAGCAGAAGTCCTGAAGCAAAATAAACTGCTCAGGGCCAGGGCCCGGCCCCGCCCCGCCCCCCGCTTTTCCACCCAGGCCTGGTGACCCCTGAACCCACACTGTAACCTGGTTCATGGTTCTGGCTCCAGTTCACTTTCCTCCCACAATTATTACCACTATTACTATTTTTATTTTTATTTTGAGACAGTCTTGCTCTGTAGCCCAGGCTGACCTTGACCTTGAGGCGATCCTCCTATCTCAGCCTCCTGTGTGAGTCACCTGCTAGCTCTTTGTTGTTCTGTTTTTTGAGAAAGGGTTTCACTGGGTAGGGCAGGCTGACCTGAAACTTGCCATCCTCCTGCCTCGGCCTCCCAGAGGGCTGGGATTACAAGCACTGGCCACCACACCCAGTTTATTTAATTGCTCTGTTCTCATGGGTCTGCCACCGAACAAACTGTACAAGGGAGTTCTACCAAGGAGCAAAGAACAGAGAGCGATACCAAAAAGCTTTGTGAAGCCATGTGTTGGTCAGTTTGTAGCTTGTAGGTGCTTGTGTAAGCTTTGTTTTGTTTTTAGACAGGGTCTCAGTGTGTAGCCCAGGCTGGCCTTGAACTCGCAATGACCCTCCTGCCTCATCTTCCTGAGTGCGGGGAGTTTAGGTGTGCACACCCAGCCGTGGATGGAAATTTCCACCAAAGCTAGGGACAGCCTGGTCTGCGGGGATTCCAGGGACCACAGGCGCTTGCAGGTTTGGCCAGCGCAGGGCGCCCTCTCGTGGTTAGTGGGTTCCACATCTGAGCTGCCCCTGTGGCCTCCTGAGGAGGCTGCCCTTGCGCTGAGAAGTTTGCCCGCAGAGCTCAGACTGTGACCTTCACCTGCCAGCCAAAGGGCCCTCCGAGCGCCTCTGGTGCCATTTTGAGGCAGCATCACTCCAAGTTGCTGAGTTGCCCGGGCTGGGCCCAAACCCTGGGTGCTCGCCTCACCTCGCCTGGCTGGAAGAGTAGATTTGTGGTAAGACACAGCACAGTGGGATCCCAGCAGCTTCTTCTCAGGCTCCTGAGATTGATGACAAATTCACAGGAAAACTTAGGAAGAAGCAGGAAAACCTTCAAAAGGAAAAACAGAAAGAAGAACAGTCTACACACGTTAAGATGTACACTTTATGCATCTGGTGTCTTCAAAGATGTTGAGTGAGGTGTCACCCTAGCATGCTGGGCTGAGGCAGGACGATGGCAAATTCCAACCCAGTCAGAGCTCTCAGCCATACCCTCATCAAAATAAAAAGTGGATAATGAAGAGAAAGGCTGGGGTGTAGCTCACTGTGAATGTTTGAGTCTATTCCCCAGTACCACAAATGTAAATGGAAACATCAAGAAATTGGTAATAAAGGAAAAAGAAGCTTTTGTTCCCATAAGTGGACGAACAATGAATTGAAGAGCATGACAAGTCCTGGAGGATACGCAAATGCCTAGCAGCATGCTCCTTAGTGACTTCTCAGTCCTGATGTCCTCCCACCAAATGAAAACTAACATGGGGATTAGCTCAATGGCATAAGCACCTGCCTGTAAGCATGAGGTTGTGAGTTTGATCCTCAGTATCAGAAAAAGGAAAAAAAAAAGAAAAGAAAAGTAACTGCTGAAGGTAAAAATGACGGTACGGAGCCAGCGTGATGGTGCACACCTGTAATCCCAGCACTCAGGATGCTGAGGCAGGAGGATCACCCAGAGTTCAAGGTCAGTTTAGGGGGCAAAATGAGTTCGAGGCCAGCCTGAACTATATAGTGAAACTCTGTAAAAAAAAAAAAAAAAAGAATGCGCATAAATGGTGTAAGTTCAGAGAACTTTCCCTGTGGTGGCCTGGCCCAGTCCAGCCTGGTGTGGTGAGGCGGGACCTGAGCTGCAGAGTTGGGGTTTGCAGCCCTGCCTTCTGGTGCTGAGAAGCGAACTCCACTCCACCGTGCCTGCCAAGCCTTCAGATGGTCAGCCCGCCAGTGCCTCGCCGCACTCAGCCCGGGCTGGGAAGGCAGGACATGGCTGCGGGGAAGTGGGTAGGGCTCAGGTGCCAGTGCGTCATCTGCACAAAAGTTTACAGGGTGCTGCTCTGCCTGTGCTTGGACCCCAACAGCAGAGGGGTCTCCAGTTCAGGGCGGGAGCAACCTGTGCACCCAGAGCCTGGGGTCAGCTGGCGGGTGACACTGGCCACAGGGACATCCCTGTGGGGCCTGGGATTTCAGTGCTGTCCACTGAGCCCCAGGGCTGCCTGCACACCAGCCAGCCACACCCACCACCTTCAGGGGGTGACAAATGACAAGCAGAGCTCTGGGTGCCTGAATACAAAACACAGTCCCCCTCCCCCCCTTAGGGTCTTACCATAGAAAGTTTTTATGATCCTCAGGTCTAAAAATTGTTAAACATGCTCACAATTTAAATTATAAAACAAAAGTGTGAGTTCACCTCATAATAGATGTACCATTTAAAACTTGAAATTCTAATAAAGATGGAACCACCACAGCAGAAGATGCAATCACAGAAAGGAAAAAGAGTCCTTTGGAAGGATCTTCATGCTGGACAATGAAAGCACCCCGTCCAGTGCTAACCTGGGGTAGAGGAGACACTTGTTTTTTTTCCAGAGAACCCCAAGGCCCAAGGCAATCTGAACAGTGGCCTGCTAGGACAACCAGTGTCACATGACATGAGCTGCTAAAATTGTAAATAAACACCCTGCAGTGAGGGGACAGTTGTTTCTCCCTCAGGGGAGGAGGGGCTCCCCCTGGCCCCAGCTCTGTCTCTTTATTCTTTGCACTCCTACGGTCCTTCACCCCAAGAGCCTTGCGGGTCACGTAGACTAGGACATAGCAGAGGTGACCCACTGATGATCCAGTCAAAGCGAGGCAAGCACTGCTGGGCCACTGGGCACAGCTCTGTCCACTCTGGGCTCTCCCAGCCTTCTCCTGACAGCGCCTGCAGCAGACTTGGGCCGGCACAAGGCGAAGGGGAGGTGCTCAGTGCTTCCCCCTCAAACTCTAGGCGGCATCTTGAACTATTCCTCTGTCAGGAAGTTAAAAAGTTGGCCCTTTACATCAACTACCCTGTTGCTGTGACTCTTGTGTTGTCGCAGGAGAGAGCTGCAGTGTGTGCGATTAGAGACAAGATTTGTTGACTTCGAGAACACCTAGATGACTTCCCACTGTGTCTCTGCTCCTGTTGGCACAGTGGGGAGCTGGGAAGATCAGCTCAGCCCTGCCCCACAGTCACTGTGACCCTTCCGCACCAACTTCCCTGTGTCAGCAGAGGCAGGGAAATTCCTCTGTCAGGAATTTAAAAAGTTTCACTCTGCTTCTTACTTTCTTTTTCCGGCGGGGTGCTGGGAACAGAACTCAGGACCTCTCCCTTGCCAGGCAGGCACTGTACTGCTGAGCTAAATGCCTGGCCCCCTTTTATTTTCAATATGTTACGGAATTTCCAGGAGACACTAACAGAAACGTCTGTAGCTGACTTGAGAGAGGGTCAATGGTCCTAGAATGCCTCAGACAGGTCCGGCGTGGCCAGTAAATGAGTTCCTTAGGGTTACTGACAGAGCAGGGGATATGGACCTATAGCTAAACTCATCAACCCCACGGCTAAGCAAATGGTTTTAGGGTGTTAATTAAAACAGTAATGTCCGGTCGAAAGCAGGAAACACTGCTAAGAAAAGCTGTGTGTTCTCCACCTGCATCTTCATCAGGAAACTCTGCTGGTTTTCATGAAGCACCGTGGGCAGGGCACTTGTGCTGTCGGCTGGCACAGCCTCAGCTGTTGGTAGGAGCCCATTAGAAGAGGGAGTTACAGCCAGGTGTGGTTATGCATGCCTGCAACCCCAGCACTCAGAAGGCTGAGACAGGAGGATCCCAGAGAGATCAAGGCCAGTTTTGCTGCATACTCATTTCAAGGCCCCTCTCAACGACATAGTGAGATCCTGTCTCAATAAACAAATGACAAATAGAGAGAGTTAGCTGGAGCGAGGTTTGAGGACAGTTCCTGTGCAGCAGGGAAGTGAGAAGCAGCAGCTCAGTGCCCCGTGAGGCTGGCACAGGGATGAGAAGCGCAGCCCTGCCCGCCTCTGCAGACACAGGGAAGCTGGTGCGGAGGGGTCACAGTGACTGTGGGGCAGGGCTGAGCTGATCTTCCCAGCTCCCCACTGTGCCAATAGGAGCAGAGACACAGTGGGAAGTCATCTAGGTGTTCTCGAAGTCAACAAATCTTGTCTCTAACCGCACACACTGCAGCTCTCTCCTGCGACAACACAAGAGTCACAGCAACAGGGTAGTTGATGTAAAGGGCCAAGTGCTGAATAGTCTACTACTGCTTCCTCGTCATTGGGGAGAGTGTGTAATCCAGGCCTGTGCCCTCCGCACCCCCCCCCCTTCAGGCCTGCGGGGAGGATCTCACCTTTTCAGGTCACCTGAGGTGAGTCAGATCTGGGCACCGTCATGCCTGGGGTGGAAGCAAAACAGGATTCAGTCAGAGGCCACAGGACACGTGGAGAAAGGAACTGTGGGCAGGGGATCCTCAAGGCTCCTGACTATACAACCTTAAGGCTCTCAAGATTCAGCCCCCCATTCTTACTTGCAGCCTGAGTGTAGCTCCCTCCACTTACACCTGTTGGGAAGCAAATGGAGGAGGCAGGGTCTTGACAGCCAGGAAGAACTGCCCAGGCCTGGAGCCCAGGGAAGCTTCCAGAACAGGCGTGCAGACCCAGGGAAGGATCAGGAGGCACGAGGGAAGGACATGGTCAGGACCTGCACCAACTGCCCTCCTGGAGCTCTGTCCTCACAGGTACCTTCCCCTCTGACCCTGCCTGCTGGAATCAGGTCCCCATCACAACCCCCTCTGGGTGACAAATCTATCCTTTCAGTTCCCTGTTCTTTACAACAGAGTAAGTGTCCTGGGGCCCTGGGGAGGGTAAGCACTGCGTGTGGACGATGTTTACTATAATGAGGTAGGCGCACTTCTCCCTGGGACCTGAACCCCAAACACTGAGACCCTGACCCCTTCTTCCTGGTCTCAGTCTCCTCCACCTCACAACAGCCACCAGAGCAGTGACCACAAGGAGACTGGGGATGGCAGTGGCTCCTTTGGCTCTGACCACTCCAGGGGGGATGGAGGGCTGAAGAGGCCGCTCTGGGAAGGGAAGAAAAGGTGAAAGGTCCTGATGCCCAGGTGTCAGCCCTGAACTACTTCAGGCTGTAAAAAGATTCCTGCTTTTTTGAAGAGACACTGTGCTCCCATCTTCCTTACCCCATCTCAGGGTGCGGGGCTCAGGCAGCCCTTCATGTTCCACCCGGCACATGTAATTCTGCTCCTCTCCAGAAGGCACCACCACAGCCACCCACTTCTGGAAAGTTCCATTCCCATCAGGCCTGGTCTCCACCAGCATCATGTCCTGGGCCAACTCCCGCCCATCCGGCTGCCAGGTCAGGGAGATGTCCTTAGGGTAGAGGCCCAGGGCCCAGCACTTTAGGGTGACTGCTTCCTTGGAGACGAGGTGTCAGGTCACATGTGTCTCCGGGGCCTCTAAGGGGAAGAGGGGGAAATTCAGGCTCTTTGCATTCTTCCTGAGCCACTCCAGCAGCGCTCCTGTGATCATCCTGACAATGGACAGCACAAATGGAACAGGGAGACTGCAAACCCAGAGACCAGGCTGGACACAGGCATCTGGAATAATCTATTCCTCGGACAGGTCTAGACTCAGGGTGAGTCAGTCCCAGGCAGGAGGCTCTAGGTCCCTGGGGGAGGGAAAGGGACCTCTGTCCTGAGTGGGAGGAGACTGAGAGGCCAGAATAAGCATAGTCAGAGCTCCACAGACACTGGGTGTGGGGCAGAGATCAAGCCCGAGAGAGCTCAGGTTCACAGCCTCCTGAAGGGCAGGGTGAGCGCCATCTCAGGGGTCTCCCTTCCCATGAGGGACAGACTCTTCCTGTCCTGAGAGAAGAGGGCTCAGGGGAGCGATCTGCTATCAGCTGTGCAATCCCAGGGGCGCTCTTCCCCAGGACAGGAGAGGGCAGCACTACTGGGGAAGGGTTCCGTTTTCCTCCCCAGAGACAACTGTCCAGCCAGAGCACAGATGGGGAGGCCCTCAGGGCCGGTACCTGCGCGTTGCAGCGTCTCCTTTCCTTCTCCAGGTATCTGCGGAGCCACTCCACGCAGGTGCCCTCCAGGTAGGCCCCTTCCTGCTCTGCCTCCAGGGCCTCCACCCACTTGCGCTGTGTGATCTGAGCCGCAGTGTCCGCCACCACCCAGGAGCTCAGGTCCTCACCAAGAGCGATGTAATCTGCGACGTCCTGCCAGTATCCGCGGAGGAATCGCAGGTCGGACCCCACTTCGCAGCCGCACATCCTCTGGAGGGTGTGAGAACCTGGCCCCGCCCCCACTCTTACCCAGGGATTTTTCTCCCAGACTGAAAATGAACCCAAGGGCTGGGGATTTAGCTCAGCGGCATAAGCACCTGCCTTGCAAGCAGGCAGTCGTGAGTTCGATCCCTGGTACCGATAAAAAAAAAAAAAAAAAAAAAAAAAAGAAAAGAAAGAAAATGAACCCGGGTCGCCATCCCTGCGTGCTTCAGGCAACGGGGTCTCCGCGGGTCGGACCTGGGCCCCTGAACCTATTTCGGGCGCTCCGTGGGGGCGGGCAGGAGTCGTGACCTCTGACCCGGCCGGGGTCACTCACCGTCCCCACTCTGGTTGTAGTAGCCGAGCAGGGTCCGCAGGCCCACTCGATAAGTCTGTGCGCTGTCCTTGGCTCTCTGTGTCTGTCGGTCCCAATACTCCTGACCCTCCCGCTCCATCCACGGCGCCCGCGGCTCATATCGGGGACTCTCGGCGTCGCCGTCGAAGCGCATGAACTCCGTGTCGTCCACGTAGCCCACAGTGAAGAAGCGCGAGTCCCCGCGTCCGGGCCGGGACACCGCGGTGTCGAAGTAGCGCAGGGAGTGCGAGCCTGCGGGGCGGGGCGGTGAGCCCGCGACCTCCTCCCGGCCGGCCCGCCGCTCCCGCCGCCCTGCGTCCGCACTCACCCGCCCAGGTCTCGGTCAGGACCAGGACCCCCGACAGCAGCAGGAGGAGGGTTCGGGGCGCCATCACTGTCATCTCGGGGTGGAGGACTGAGCTCCTTTCCCTCTGTGAGGACTTTATAACGGGAACCGCGGCGGCGCTGATTGGCTGCTCTAGGAGCCCTGACAAATGGACGTGAGAAATGGTCTTGCGTCACCAGTATCTAGGTAGTAGGAGACTAAGCAGTGAAACCCCAGTGAGGTGGGGAACCTCCAAAGATTAAGGTCTTCATGGTGACACCGCCCTGGGGTGTCACCGACAGCCACCCTTGGCGATACGGACGCCGCCCCGTCTCGCTCTCTGTCACTTGGTCTCCCTGGATCCTGAGCAGAGTCTGTGAGGAGCGCGCAGCTCGGCCCGGAACCCTCTCCCGAGGTGCGTCCTCCTCCCTCACTGCCCCGACCCTGGAAGGAAACTCGGCCCGGGAAGCACAGCGCACAGGGAGCCTGTCCTCGGGGCGCAGTGGGGACGCAAGGTTCTCTGTCTCAGCACGCGGAGATGCCCAGGGAGACCGCGTCGCTGAGTGGTGAGGAGCTGCAGGGGGCAACGTGGGAACAGCCCGGCATGGCCGGGAGCTCAGGAGGTGGCGCTGTCGCCTGCACACACGCTGGGGCCTAAAGGGCTCTAGGGTTTACACACTGAGCTCAAGGCTTTACCTTCTGGCACGGTAGATCTGTGCCTCCAGATCTGTGTGCTTTAAAATCACCTTCATTTTTCTAGCTCTGAGCCTTACAGTGTGGGTCCAGGGCACAACTGAAAATTGTGGGGCTCCTCCTCTCCTCAGACTCCCCAGGGGTCACTGGGACAGCTGGCTGTGCACAAGCAGAAGAAGGTTCAGTCTAGACCCGTCCCTCAGCGTGCACTAACGTCAAATCAGTATGGGTCAAAGATCTCGACGTTAGAACAGAGACACTTCATCTGCTGAAAGATAAAACACTCTTGAGGATGCCGGCATAGGCAAGGACTTTTTATATTTTAAATTATTATTATTATTATTATTATTATTATTTTGTATTGGGGATCTAGCTCCCAACCTAGCACTTGCCAGACAGGGGCTTATGTCGCTGAGCTAAAACCCTGGCAGGGAAGGATTCTTTAAACAGGACCCCAGTTGGGGAAGAGATAATACTGAAAATCAACAAACAGGATCACATCAGATTAAAAAGTGCACAGCAAAGAAAGCAGCCACCATAGTGAAGAGACAGCCAGGACGGGAAATGTTCTGCAGTGTGTGAAGAGCTAAAAAAAAAAAAAAAAAAAAAAAAAAAAAAAAAAAAAAAAAAATTAGACCCCCTCAAATAAAAGACCTTTTAGGTAAATGGACAAGTGAAATGAACAGGCACCTCTCAGAAGTACAAATGGCTGAAAAATATGAGAAAAAATGTTCAGCATCTCTGCACTGCAGAAACGCCAGTTGCAACAACACAGAGATGCTGTCTTCCTCCAGAAAGAAGGGCTAAGGAGAGGGGTAAGTTGGGAGTTGGCAAGATGGAATTTCCCACATCAAAGAGACAGTGAGCAGAGGGAAAGCCCCTGCGTGCAGCTCTCCTGGGTGCTGCCTAGACCAAGGAGGTCAGGAGAGATGGAGCTCAGAGAGGTCGTGCCGCTGGCCTCACCTCTCAGCGAAGGTATGGGGGAATAATTTGAAAATTTATATTGCTTTGACATGAATAATATTACAGAATTACAGTGATTTTCTGCAGCATCTTATGATATTTCTTAAAATGCTATTTTTAAAAGTGATATTGTGAGGGGCTGGGGATTTAGCTCAGCGGCATAAGAAACCTGCCTTGCAAGCAGGCAGTCGATCCTTGGTACCGATAAAAACAAAAAAGACAAAAAAAAAAGTGATATTGTGATGGTTGATAGTGTTAGCTTTGAGAATTTTAGTTAAGAAGGTTTACTGAATCAGCTCAGCAATTCTCCACCCTGGGGTCCTCCTACGGCCTGAATGGTACAAAGGGGAATGAGGAGAAACAGCTCTGCTTCTGTTTCTTCGGAGGAACTTCTCCTTCACCCTGGAGGTCCTCTTCTGGCTCAAGAGGAAGATCCTTTCGCTTCTAGGGTTGATGCTTTAGCCTGCATCGCTGACCCATCAGACTCCTGATTCAGACTCAAACAAACACTGCAGTGAGCTGCAGGCCTTGCACTGAAGCCTTTGGTCTCCACAGCACAGACGCGCTCTGCACGCTTCCTCATCTGACTCTGTTGGTGAGCACTCTAAATCAATCATGTAAATTCCTATACGTTTGTATATCTCGCATTATGTCTGTTTCTGTAGTAAACACTGACAGATACAGATGCATAGTGAAACATCTGAGAAAATTAGCCTCAATATTAACACCAATTTTCAAATGCCACAGCAAAAATTAGAGAACTATAACTTATTTATATACATAAACCAAATGTGAGAAAACTCTAAGATAATTAGATCCATAGTAGCTGTTGCACTAGTCTCTCACGCTTAGGAGTCTTGGAGCTCTCATCACCAGGCAGGGGGCAGGGAGAGACTGGCAGATCAGGTCCTGTGATCCCCACACTGCAGTGGCCTAAGAGAGGGAAGATCCAGGAGCTGGGGAGGAGGCAGGAGAGGAGACAGAGCCCGGGTGAGCAGAGCCTGTGAGGATGAGGGTGCAGGACCCTGGGGGCCCAGAGCCAGGCAGGGAAAGGACACAGGGGACCAGTCCTGGTGGATGCAGCCAACAGTGGGCTGGGCGAGGCTAGACACTGGGCCACTTCCTAAAGGTCCACAACACCTGTCAATGCTGCCGCCCCTGGGGACCAAGCCTGTCCCTGCGGATCTTTGAGTGACAGTTCTCAGTAGCTTTTTTTTTTTTTTCTAAAAATCAAGTTTTAATACATTGATATAAAGCCAAATTCAGTATCTCTACTCAAAGCAAGGAAGTATTTTTAAAATACTTTTCAACTTTAGTAATATTTATGAAGAACTAGCTTAAAATAAAAACCATTTCGTGTCCTATTATGAAAATTCCTTGCATTTACCCCTTCACCAGGTTTTGATTAGTAAGGAAAATCAAGTCTCAAACAATGGGGTTTGTTTAGGCTTCTATTTGTTTGTCAGTCTTTCACATGGTCACTTTATAATTCTGGTTAAATCTGGCTTGTAACTGATAAAATGGGCAACTCCTGAAAATCATACTTAAGATCAAAAGACTATAAAATCGGTGAGAACTCCATGGCTCCCCAACAGCGCTGTCAGGGTTACAATCCTGCAGTGCTGCCGGCAGGGGGAGGAGGTAGTGGTTTTGGGGTTGCTAAACTCTCACCAAAATCTCAGCCACAGTGGTTGTGGCTCCCGTCACCCAGTGTTCGAGTCTTCTCTAAAGGGTTCGCACTTTCGGAATTAGATGGCCGTTGTGTTGCGGCTCCCAAGTAAGAGATGGTTTTATTCGAAAACCTTCGTGTAAGGAGTTTCCAGGAACTGACTTTAGGCTGAGGAATAAGGAGGGCTGAGCCGCTGTCTGCTTCTCAGCTGGCCCTCGAGTTGTGGTCAGGCGCTGGCAGGAGGGTGCAGGGAGCAGACCACATCCTCGGGGAGGGCACACGGGCTCGCGAGCCGCTCGGTCTCCGGCCTCAGCCGCGTCCCCCTCCTGGCTGGCACACAGTCCAGGGAGGTTCAGGAACCTCCGCATCCCACGCAGGACCTCGCCCAGGCTGCGGAGGCTGGACCCGCGGGTGGCGCAGCAGTGCCACCGTGTGGCCGCAGGCCCGAGCGCAGAAGATGGCTCCCAGGTCCCCTCACCAGGACCCTGATTTCCACCACCAGGCCAGGGCTGTGCACACCCTGGCGTGACACCGTCACGCATCAAATTCAAGGTGCAAATTGCTTCCCGAAATCCGCACTGATATACATGTTTCCTGTTCGCTGAGTGACCACAGGGCAGAGTGAAGTTTCCAACCCACAGCATGGTTTTCAGGTTTATGGTGAACCCACAGGCAGAGTCTCCTGGAGGGGAGCTTAGACCTACCTCCCTGCCACTTGATCCAGTTGCTCCCTTTGGGCCTGTCCCCTTCACCTGTGAACCAGTGGATCTACCATCCTGGGGTCCTGGGAGCAGCTCTGGGACCTGAGCTCTAGAAAGAGGGTGAACAGCAAGGAAATAGGGGCATGGTGGGCAGTGGCTCCGAGGTGGGGTGTGGGTGGAGTCAGGGAGGAGGGTGACCTGGGAAGGAGTGGTCCTCTGTGAATTGTTGGAGGGGGTCTGCATCCTGGCCTATAGCAAAAGGATGGCATCCATGCCACTCTTGTATGGGCCCTCCCTGCTCCCAAATTCCCAAGCTTTGGAGCCCCATAATCTAGGATAGGCTCTCACACATGTGGGGGTCCAACACTGGGTGGCTGCTGTCACAGGCCTCTGCTCTCACTTCCTCCACTATAATAACTCAAGCCCCTGGGCCAGAGTGAGGAGCGCTGAGAAAGGAGCACTGGACCAGCAGTTCAGGGAAGGACTTGGCCACCAATTCCCCACTTTCCAGGTTCCAAGGATCCCCTGCTCTGTCTTGGCTCACAGTTCCTGGGCCTTGAGGTCTCCCTGTTTCCCTCAGGTGACCCAAATCCTCACACTGAACCACGCAGGCCCCATGCTGTGACTACCATACCATTATCGCAGGACCTATGTGGCCTGACAGCAAAGCTTATTCCTGCCACGATGCAGACAAAGAGTTCAGGCATCCACAAGCCTGAAACTCCCACCCTACAGCTGCACCACGGCTGTGTTCTGGGCAGCAGCCACCCACGACCCTGTCACCTAGAGGTTCCCCTGCCAGACCCACGACACATCGGAGGCCTGTGGGAGTGAGGGGCAGCTGGTCCACCGTGCTTATGGAGCAAGACCACAAGTTTGGGGGGACACGGGCATCGCGCCCGCTGTAGGCTTAGAAAACCAAGACGAACTGGTGGGTACCGACACACACCCCAGAAAGGTGGACCGCAAAGTTCCTAAGTAGAAATCCAACTCCCGCTGGGACTGTACTTGAAAGCAAAGACATTAAGGGTGACCAATGTGGAGCCTTCACATGACAGGACTGCTATTTATAACAGCAGGAAGAAA